ATTGCTAATAGTTCGCTGGTCCAGTGGGATCAAAACAGACTCCACATGACTTCAGTCCAATCCACACAATCTGTGAATGTTAGATTCCAGTGCTTGATAGGCTGGATTAACTGGTAAGGGTATGGCTAGTGTTTGCATATAACTATAAATGCATTTTTTTTTTTGATGTAGCAACAAGGGTCTTTGTTGATACACATGTCGCTTATGTTTTACTTTGGACAGTCAGTGAGGACGATCACATAGAAATATTGACAATTATGGACGATTAAAGGTAATGCCAAGAATGCAGATTCTTGGCGTATTCTTTGTACTTTAAAACTCAGTTACACAGAGATCGGTTGTTGTTCCCTTGGCAACAACTATTTAGTATGCAAAAAATGTTTTCCCTTACCAGCTGGCAGTGGAGGTTGCTGCCTGTGGTTAGCAACGTCAAAGATGATAAAATCAATACTTTCCAATAGATGCACTTTTCAGAGTTTCACCACCACTAGGTGATTGTTTGTAGTCAAGTCTCCGTCTTCCATGCAAACGGGATCACCGTAGTGATCTGCCAGTGAGCAAATCAATCAAAAAGAGGTTTTCAGTGCAGTACCATATTCATTTAGCGGCTCTCACTTGGCATCCACTGCCCAGTCAATTGGGGAATACAGATTTTCTTTATCTACCAAGATTTCAGGGGGGTTGTGACCAAACACTCTCCTTTTTTTACCAGCAACTGATAACTTGTCCAGATATGGTAAATTCTGGCTCCAAAAACTAGTGTAACAATGGCCGAAAAGCTAACGTCACAGTTGCTTCATCCATTTTTTTTTTCAACCTAGATATGCTTTTCACACATGTACTGCACATAGCTATAGAGTGCTTCAATGAAAGGGGTTACAAAGCAAAAAAGCAACATAGGCACTGGTCTGCAGAAATGTGGAAAAGTGATACGTTCGGGTGAGCCATCCTTAACCATACTGTCAATAAGTGAGAGACTGCATAAAAGACACACATAAAGACATCAAGAGAAAAGCACAGCCTAGAATGCTCGGCCCTTAGAGCATCTGTTGGCTCTATTAAGACATTTGGGGTATTTTGCGGTTTCCTTTTTCCGAGGGGCCACGTTAGAAACTGGGACTTTTTTGGATGGCCACACCAATAAGCTTAATTGATGCAGCCCTGCAGTCCCAGTTTCTCATGTAGTCCCTTGGAAAAATTATTGGCCCACCCCTGCCTTAGAGGGAACGAAAAATGAAAACCAATAGAAAGTTGTTCTGGTTGACCAGTTGTACTGTATGGGATGTGAGTGGTCTATTTCAGGATGACAGTGCCTCCACCTATATATGGGCCTACCTTATAGTTAACACGGCTTAAGGAGTAGCCTATGATCTTCACAGTCACCAGATTGCAACTAAAATTAACATCTTCAGGAGACCAATGTGTCTCCATTTGATGATCATCATCAAGACATGAAATGAGGGAAAATATTTAAGAAACATGGTGCCCATACCCCTCTGGTAAAGGAATGTTTGAAGAGTTAATGTTGTAGTGGCTCAAACACCTTAACAAAAAATTTAAATTGTTGTCTGCTTTAATTTGTCAAACATCTTTAATTTCTAAAATACTAATTATTATTATTATTATTATTGTTATTTATTTACTTGTTTTTGTAAGCTTGCACCTATAAAATAGCCACTAAAACAGTAGCCCCTTTTCAAAATCTGAGGTTTTCACTTGAAGAAGGCAAAAAAATACATTTCATCTGCCAGTGCACCTCAAAACGACACACTTCTTATCTAATACATTTATCGTGTTATCTACAGTCTGCAGAGGATGTGCTATTTTAAATTATCCTTCCAGTTTTGACTGTGATCATCAATCGCTTTAATGTTTTAATCTTTTCTACAGCGTCACTTCAGTAACCTTTGCCGCTCCTTTCGTATCCGTTCCTCCTTCACTCTTTTCTTTCTTCTCCTCTTCACCCTCTGGCTCCTTCTTTGCAGTTTCTTTTGCTGTTGCATGCTCCCTCTCTTCCTCCTCCCCCTCTTCCTCCTCATCAAGTTGGAGACTCCCCGATGAAAACCTCATCCTGGCTAGTCCAGCGGACCGTACCATCTTGCCTACCTGAGGGGCAGGGCAGTAGTATGGATAGAAAACCTCCGGGTCTGAGTCGCTGTAGCTTCCCGCAGTGCTGCCAATCATACATAGTGAACTGGGGCGTTCAGGCAGAGGGGAAGAGTTTAGTGGGAGGTAGGTGGGTCTGGAGGGGCGCGTCAGGTGGGGGTAGTAACCAAGAGGGCGAAACTCAGAAGCAGGGTTAAAGGCAGTGTTTGAGCTCCTTGAGAGGTTTAATTTGACATCAGGTTGGCTGGCTACACGGCGAGGCAGTCCAGGAAGGAAGTTGGAGTCATCGCTGTAATGACCCGCCTCTGTATGTCCAACGCCCCTGAGTCTTGCACCATTGCTTCCTGGTTGGTACATTCTGGCCAATCCCAGCCCACCTGAACCACTGGAGCGGAGGTTTCTCCTGATTGGTGAACTACATGGCGAATCGTGACACATTGGGTAAAAAGATGGCCGTGTTATGCCATCCATTGTCACATAATCCCGCCGTCTTGTATGTGGAATTCGTTCCAGTGAGGAAACGGTAACAAATTCCGACAAGTAGGGATGTCGGTTGAGTGGTGAGGAGCCAGCTAATGGGAACGATGGGAGGACAGGATGATACTGGTAGGCAGGGCTGTTAGGGTAGAGAAGGACCAGCTGCTGTCCTGCATCTGGATGTGGCTGGGGGTTGGGTCGACGTCTAGATCGGTTTCCATAGACACCAGCTAACCGCTGGGCTTGGCGCTGTGTCCCGATTCGTACCCCCCTTGCGTCCTCTACTACAGATATCGAAGCAGATCTCGTCTTCAGTGAGGGTGAAGGCGGCATTGTCTGGTTGACAGATGGAGAAAGAGGAGTGACTTGGGAGAGGAGGCGAGGCCTCTGGCTGACCTCAACACATGAATGGCTGCGTTTAGCCACTCTTTCGTTGATTTCAATATCATTGTCTCGATGATGCGGGTCCAGCTGATCCTGGCTGTGTATTGCCAGAGCACGACTTGACCGTGGGAATGGGTGGGAATGTTCGTACACCTGAGAAGAAAAGGCACGAACACTTGAGTTGTTTTTATTACTAATATTTTGATTATGCTACCATTAATTAATTCGCTCATATGATATCAGAGTATGTATGTATTAGATAATATCAGAGAACTGTAAAAAAGAAGAAAAAACGGCCCAAGAACATGTAATGACATTTTGAAAAACCCATAGCTCTTCAAGTTAATTAAACAAAATCATTAAAAACAGATAATAGAACAGTAGCTGTTTTAATTTTGTCAGACATGAATATGCTTTGTGTGTCAAGTAATAGTTTTAAAGACTGAACAGTCATATTTATTACCTGTTTGGAGACATCTGTGAGGAGATCAGGAGAAGATCGACATTGTCTGGGGTCACAGTCTGTCTGACTGTACATCCTGGACAGACAGAGAAAGGAATAAAATAACGGATGTTATACACAGACTATAAAAATTGATCACAAAATATTCCTCTGTTCCAGATCCTTTGACCTTTACATAAGATGGCTTAATAAAATATGTTGCCGTTTCAAGTACTTAAAGCTCCTTGCTTTTGAAGTACATGCATAAGCAAGTTTCTTGCTTATGAAAAGGAAATTGAAGCATCAATAAAATCTCTCTCTCACTTTTCAAAGTGTGAAGGCTTCTTCTCCCCTGATCCCAGACACTCCAGCAGCTGCTTCTGGGTCCGACCACTGCCAAACAACATTACTAACATCAGATGGACACACTACCACACCTGACTGAAAACAAAGAGTCTGAATATTCATCAGAAGAAAAGGGTAATAAAAAAACGCTCACAGTCCATCATATTTCTCAGGTTTTTGCTTATAAATCAGCAAATGACTTTGAGCACAGTTTGGTTCAATTCTAACCAATACTATCAGTAGGGATTCTTGTGAGTTGTGGACAGACTGATCACCACGACATGATCTGTCCTTTGGATAAGCTGGAAAGCTCAGGATGGTTTATTCAAACACTACAAGAGTAGGTAAGTAAAAAGTTTTGTGAGTCAAAATATTTGTGTACAAGCTTAAATCCAGATGATGTACCACTAAATGGTTGGAGAACAATTCATGCATAGTAGACACTGGAAGTAAATGACTTTGATTTTGGGCAAAAGATGATTAATATATATATATATATGTATTATACAAAAGCCTGAATGCACCTTCAGATTATAGCATTATGTGCACTTGTCTGCATTTTACCTGTATCTGAAGCTGGAGCCTTTACATGACAGCAGAGTTTTGTGTATGGCCTTTGGTTCCTCAGCCAGCCTGAAGAAAGCATGGTACTCCACACACATCTTCCAGAATGATTTACACACATCACGGCTGGCCATGGCCAACTCTAGTGTATCCTTACACGAGGGCTGGATGGACATGAAATAAGACTATGATGAGTCAAATATTTACAACCGCCTCTGTATAGCATGCTGTCTGCACTTCAAGTCCCAAAAAGTCTTCTACCGGAGAACTTAAAAGCCCCCATAGGGTGCTCTGTGGGAACTGGCACCAGTGCTCTAGCTGTAGAACCTTTACATTAGTAACTTGGTAGCTGCTATGGATCGGATTTGATCTTTACATTGCCTGTTTGCATGCTGTTCACAAGTACTTAGAACTACTGGCCAGGAGATCTCCACAAAAGCCTTACTCTTTTGGCCAGAATGTTTTGTTCCTTCCAAAGATCTCTTAAATATTTGGACCTGCCCATTTTTCATGCATCCATCACAAGAGTCCCCTGTTCACTCACAGGGGAGTGAGACATAAACTCACTCATTATTCCATACTAAATACTAATGGTAGGTGTGCCAGTTTAGCTAACTGGTAGAGCAGGTGACCACATGCCATATGGCTGAAATGCAGATGTCCAGGATCGAGTCTGGCCCATGGCTCATTTCTACATGTCTCCCCCACACCACCATCACCCTTTCTTTTCTACTCTTAACAGCTCAACTATTGAATAACGGCCAAAAAAACCCCCCCATCCATCCGCTTCCCCTTTTCCTTTTTCAGGGTTGCGGGGGAGCTGGAGCCAATCCCAGCTGTCTTAGGGTGGGAGGCAGGGTACACCCCTCAAAGATAAATCTTCATAGGACAAAAAGCAAAACCGTGTGGCCCAAACTGGACCAGTTTCTCACCCCAACTTTATCATGTAGTTTGATGAGGAAATGCTTGCGTTTGAAGCTTAGCTTGCGGATCTTTGCCCAGCTGAATGTGTTGATTTTTGTGTTTCCCTGGAAAAACACAAGAAAAAAATAATGAGAGATTATATGTAATGTGTAGTGTAGCATCTGCACACATATTTAGCCTCAAACAGTGTTCCTCTCCTAAACCTGTTAGTTGATTTTTGAGAAATGCACATGGAAATTGTAAATTTTTATTGGTACTGTAAAAACTAAAAAGGATCACCGACGTCCTCAGGTTTTATCTCTACACATCTCGCATATCTTGTTTTATCTCGCATACAATGAATGATTGTTAGTTTATTAGATCCATTAAATTTATTGTGTTGTAACTTCACAAACCAAGTTTTTTATGCTAAAACAGCAACTCCTAGCTTAGAAGAAGAGGAAATTTTTCTGATGGAAAAAAATAAAAAGATTTGTCCTTTTATGTGGAAGTGGACACACCTGAAAGACTAGCACTCCAGAGTGTGTGACAGCCAGATTGATCCTCATTCCCTCCCCATCATAGGCAGGGTAAGGCCTGATTCCATACATGTCCAGCTTCCTCGCCACCTCCAGCAGCTGGATGTCGGAGTTTGCTGGAGAGAGTCCTCTATGGACAGAAACAAAGAATCACAATTACAATCCAGCCTCTGATTTATGGAGAGTTGGATGCATTGCTGTTGTTTTGCTGCCAATTTGACCCAGCAGTCACTTCTGCTTTTCCAACAAAATTTCTCCTAGTTAGACTCAAACAACACGTCAAACGCATGTTTCAAAAGTGGCATTTTGGTTGTAAACCATCATATTTTCAAATCTATCGTCTTTTAAAAGAATCTATGGGTGGGATGGGGGAAAGAGGCGCAGTCCTACGTCCAGTTAATACTTTGCCCTTTCTCTCTGATCAAAATTAACACTAGTTTGACAAAACTGTCCGCATACTACAGAGCACCAGTGTCTTCTGCTTCACTTCATACCTGTGTTTCTTGTGAAACTTGATGATTTTGTGGTCCAGATATTCCTGGTTGGGAACATAGTGCTTCATCTCCAAATGCTGGCAGTCCAGCTCCTCATCATAGTCCCCTATCTCTGCTGTAGCACAAATGCAAATGCATGCAAACACATATTTAGTTTCTCTGCGTTTTAAATATTTAATTGCAGTATAGTCACCATTTTTGGGCCATTTGGGAAGGAGAGAATCGGAGTGGGTCGTTGCTCTAGAGGGAAATCTTTGACTAAGTAAATGCAGTATATGAAACACATTTTCAAAAACATAATGTATATAATGACTATGTACTCCCTGGACCCTTTATTAGGTACACATGCAGAAAAATGCATGTAGCCATGTAAACATAGGTAAGATTTCCTACCAAAGTTCAAATTTTAGTGTGGCACAGTTGTTGGTACCACATGGGCTCATCTGAGCATTTCAGAGACTGTTAATCTACTGGGAATTTCCCTCACAACCATCACTAGGCTTTACAGAAAATGTCCCAATAAAGATAAAATATCCCTTGAGCAGCAGCTCTGTAGGTGAAAATACTTTGTTGATTCCAGAGATTACAGGAGAAGGGCCAGACTGCTTTGAGCTGATAGGAAGGCAGCAGTAAATCAAATAACATGATATGAAGGTATGCAGAAGAGCATCTCTGAATGCACAACATGCTGAACCTTGAAGCAGATGGGCTATAGCCGCAGAAGACCAAACCAGGTGCCACTGTTGTCAGTGAAGGCCAAGAAACTGCCGGTGTAATTGTAAGAGGATACTTTCTTAAAATACACATTTAAACAGTTGAACATTGTTTGAATGCCATTGCCTATGCCTATCCTCTGATGGCTGCTTCCAGCAGGATAACACACCATGTCACAAAGCTCAGATCATCTCAAACTGTTTTTTTGAACACGACAATGAGTTCACTGTACTCAAACGCGCTGCACAATCACCACATCTGAATCTGAGCACCTCTGGGATGAGCACCTGCGTCTGTGTAATGCTATCATGTCAATATGGACCAAAATGTCTGAGGAACGTTTCCAGTACTTTTCTACGGAGCCCCGCAAGGGACATGGGAGAAAAAAAAATTAACACGGACTTTTGCGAGATCTCGCAAAACAAACTCAGGATCTCACAAAAGTTTTAGCCGCATTCTTTGGTGGTCGCCAGCTCGCAGCCGACCGGGAGGTCGAGGCACGATGTGCCAGGAGAGCGGTGTTCCTCCCGGCTGTAGTAGGTCTCGACCTCCCATTAGCTTCGAGATGGTGGGTGTCAGATCTCCAAAAACGTCGGAGCACTTTTGCAAATATGTGATGTCTTGTAAACCGAGCAGATATTTGACGTTTACATAGCTACATTCACAACTCGAAATATCTTAAAAGTTTTGCGAGATCTCGCAAAAGTTTTGCGAGATCCCGAGTTTGTTTTGCGAGATCTCGCAAAACTTCATCGTAATTTTTTTTCTGCCATGTCCCTTGCGGGGCTCCATACTTTTCTGAATCTTCCGCAAAAAAAAAAATTTTTTTTAAATTACAGCAGGTGTGATGCACTTTGATGCTTACACTGCAGTATGTGAGAGACCAGCAGGGCGGCACTGTTGTCATTACAGGTCAGACTGCCATTAGACAAGTCCTGCTTGATCTGTAAGGCAAAAAGATACCTGTGCACACACAAAACAGTATGAGTACACCTACTGTGGCATTTAACAAATATCACATATAGCTCATCTATGCTCAGACTTTACCTGGTGAGGCCTCTTTTGAGTTGTCCAGGATCTGGTGGAAAAAACTTGACTATAAACCTGAAGAATAAATCATTGGTGTCTGACAGAGGGGAAAAGAAAAGAGATTATAGACGTTAGGACAATGGTGCCAACGGAGACGCTGAGATCTGGAAATATTTGGAGGAAATATGAAGTCAGAGCACTAATCTTAGGACAGATATGACTTACATTTGATCTGTTTGACCAAAGGTTTCAGCAGCTCCAACCAAACCTGCAACAGAAACTTGTTAAGACATTAAAAACCTCCCGCACTGATCTGTGCGTATCTGTGTGATCCAGCATTTCTTACATAATTGCCACTGTGGTGTCTGAACTCCAGGCCAAAGTACTCCTTCTCCAGCAGTTTCAGATGACCGCACACTTTGTTGTAGAAGTCGCCACCTAAAACCTTTTGCTGGAAGAAAGAGTGGGAGAGAATTAAAGTGAGAAGGATAATAGGACTTTTTAATTGAGACGTTCTTAAAACTAAAGTCCGGGAGTGCTCCTGGGAGCCCAGAAAAATGTGCTACAGCTCAGTTACTTTATCCACTAATACTTTGCTTAATGAGAGTTTGCATAATCATGGCCATTTTTTTTCTTTCATATTTAATTAATCTGTGGAAGATATGCATAGGGGACATTAAATGATTAAAAGACAACAGATAGAAAAAGTTGAGGCATGACAGAGGACAACGGCAGAAAATTTTGAACCGTATCCATGGAAACTGAGACCTTCATTGCTCGTCTTACTTAACCTCCTAATGGTGAACACGTCAGGCGAAAGGTTAAGATTAGGTTTGTTTGTTTTTTCACTAGTTCGTTAATTAGGCACATTTTCAAATATTAGAAGGTGTTGCCTTTCAAATGAAGTCTCACACATTTCTTTTGCCGTAATGGTTACAAATCTGTAAAAATGGTGTATTTCAACTAATGTCCCTGACTCTGGATTCCAGTGACTTTCTGGGTGACTGGAAATTCAGTTTGCTGGCAGATATGTATAGATATATAAACCTAAGGGGTCTTCTCTGCCAATGCCAAAAGCACAACTATACAGGCTGATTTGTGACAAATGCTGCTTGATGAATGGGATGCCATCCCACAGCAGTGTGTGAACGAGCTGGTGACCAGCATGAGGAGGAGGTACCAGGCTGTGTATGGTTCTTCCACATGGTACTGAGGTCCATCTGTTCAATGAATAGACTGTAAACTGTTGCTATGTCTTGTTTCTTCAGACTTCAATTATCCAATCCATTAAATTAAACCAAACAAGACTCAAGAATAAATTGTTTGGCCTTGGCAGAGAAGGTCTGGCTTGTTTTTCATGGACAAAACCCGCATACTCACCTCTGCTGCTCAACTCACAAATGTATTTCCCTTACAAACGTGGCTCCATTTGAAGGGAAATAATGAACAGATTATAACAGATAACAGATATATACACTGCATTCCAAATTATTATGCAAATTACATTTTTCTCTGTTTTTCCAAAATAGTCGATTCAAATGACAGTCGGCATCATTTTCGAGTCATCGACCAACAGAATATAATTCAAATGTTACTGAACAAAACTCCCAATGAAAACAGTATGTTCTTCAAAACTAAAAAACTTAAAATGCACTGTTCCAAATTATTACGCACACAGAGCTTCAAAAGATTTTATAGGTTGTAGAGAATTCAAAATAGTCATTTGTTGAATTTGCAGCATTAGTAGATCAATTTCACTGAAATCAAAAGCTATTTCAATCAAAAACATCTTAACAGATCAAGTTACATATTAACATAGGACCACTTATTTGATAGCAGTTTTACAATTCTTGCATCCATGGAACTTGTAAGTTTTTGGAAAGTTTCCACTTGAATGTCTTTGCAGGATGTCAGAATAGCCTCCCTGAGCTGCTGTTTGGATGTGAACTGCCTCCCACCCCTATAGCTTTTTGCTTGAGGATGCTCCAAAGGTTCTCAGTAGGATTGAAGTCAGAATGGGGACCACAACATGAGTTCCTCTCCTTTTACGCCGATAGCAGCCAATGATGCAGAGGTGTTCCTTGTTGCATGAGATGGTGCATTGTCTTGCATGAAGATGGTTATGTTGCAGAAGGCACAGTTCTTCTCTTTCTACCATGGAAGAAGGTGGTCAGTCAGAAACTCCACATACTTTGCAGAGGTCATTTTCACACCTTCAAGGACCCTAAAGAGGCCGATCAGCTCTCTCCCCGTGATTCTGTCTCAAAACATGACTCCACCACCTCCTTGCTGACGACGCAGCCCTGTTGGGACATGGTGGCCATCCACCAGCCGTCCACCAGCCATCCACCACTGCATCCATCTGGACCATCCAGGCTTGCACTGCATTCATCAGTGATCAAGACTGTTTGAAAATTAGTCTTCGTGTAGTTCTGGGCCCACTGCAGCCGTTTCTGCTTGTGAGCATTGGTTAGGGGTGGCCAAATAGAACGTTCATGCACAACTGCAAGTCTCTGGAGGATCCTACACCTTGATGTTCACAGGGCTCCAGAGGCACCAGCAGCTTCAAATATGTGTTTGCTGCTTTGTAATGGCCTTTTAGCAGCTGCTCTCTTAATCTGATGTATTTGTCTGGCAGAAACCTTCCTCATTGTGCCTTTATCTGCATGAACCCATGTGTGCTCTGACTCAGCCACAAATCTCTTAACATTATGGCGATCATGCTTAAATTTTCGTGAAATATCTAAGGTTTTCATTACGTGTCCAAGCCATTCAACTATTTCACTCTTTTCAGCAGCAGAGTGATCATTTTTCCTTCCTATATTGCTTGAAAATGGTGGTCTGCTTCATAATGTGGAACATCCTTCTTTAGTAGTTTTTCCTTTAGTTGGGCTCACCTGGCAAACTAATGATCATAGGTGTCCGAGATTGATTTCAGTGATACAAAGAGCCCTGAGACACAATTCCATCCATGAGTTTAATTGAAAAACAACTTATTTACTCTTTATGACACTTAAACACAATTTGCATAATAATTTGGAACGCAGTGTATATAAGCTGTGCATCTTTCCTTTGATGTTTGTTGTTAAATTACAATGTTTAAGAGTTTCTGCTACTACTTTTGTTTGCACACCAACCTAATTGGTGTGACCCCCTACATCCATATGAAGTTTGTGACTCCAGCCAGAAATTAAATCACTTTGAAACTGGGTGATTATTTTTGATATGTCCTGTTTTTACCTCCATTTCTGTCCTTTAAACTAACAGTTATATTTCCTCTATTCCCCTCCCCCCCTTTTGTTATTTTCTAAAAACTGATATTTATTCAATCTTGTCACAATCTTATATAACCAGATATCTTACTATTTTAATCACTTGTTATTTAAGTATTTTGTATTTAAGGGGCAGCCAATCAGAAGAAAGTCCAGTTAAAGTGAGGTTGGGGCATCAAGCCACACTGGAAAATGTAAAGTCAGGTGCATCTCCCACATCGTCATGATTATTTTGAACTCTGGATCATGCAAAGCTTTTCTAGTAGAGTCCAAGAATAGAAATGTGGAGTCAGATCAGAAGAATGGGTCACTTTAACCACATTAGACAAAAATACAAAGGACACTACAAACATGTAAAACTACTGCCTTATTGTTTATCTATTTTGAAGACCCTGTGTCTTAAATTTAATTCAGGATTAAATCAAAGTAGTAGTGTGTGCCCACATGGAGCCCTGAACCTGTCTCTGGTGTTTGTGCGGTGTTCACTTACTGCAGTGACACGTTTTTGCTTTTTTTTTAGCCTTCACTGTCTTATAGCTGGTGTTTAGTGCCCTGTTGGGGGGGTCACTGGACGTCCCTCATTAACTTGTCATGAGGGAAGGAGAAAGGTTATTAGGGGAGAGGGAGGATGACGAAGGACATGGCAGCTGTAACTGATTATAGAGAGAAGAAGAGGCCTAACTGATAATTACTGGAAGCAAACAGCCGCCCACAGATCAGCAGAGCAGTTAGTTTCCAGCAGAGCAGAACAGAGGAAAAAGTGAGCGATGTGGAACTTTGGATGTGAATTCAAAGCAGAAAACAGCAAAACAGTTTCATTAATGATATCTGCACAAGCTTACACGTGTTTGTTTGACTAGTGAAGGGCCTTCATTGCATACAGCAGTGGAGTGTTAGCTCGTTCCAGCTGGTTCCAGAGGAACAAATGCAGTTTTGTCAAATCTCAAAGACAGGCACAGAGTTACCTTTGTCATAGGTGTCATGACACATTGCGAGGTAGCAGTAACACTGAACATGTCCAGCTCATCACGTACGGACAAGTTTAAATTTCAACATATTGGTTAAGTATTATTTTTCAACATGTGCGGTTGTACAGGCCATCAGGCTACTGAAGCACTGCCTGATTACTGAACTGTGATGTACACATTATAATACAGTTTTATATAATAACACCTGTACAATCTGTATGTCCTACCTTAGTATGACTATGTACATCTAATTGTACTTTATATTTGGACTTAATTCTACCCTGATATATAGTTCTTGCATTATTGCTGTTTATTTCTATTTCTTATTATTCTTTCACATCATTTTATTTATTTTACTTTTGTGAATTGGACACATGCAGTTCACAGAAAATCCACCAGGGATCAGTATTTCATGCACCAGAGGGCACAAAGTTGCCAGATGTAGCAAAAATAATACAAATTAAAACTCAGTCATTGACCCAAACCAGTTAACCTTAAAAGCTTTGGACTGAAACCAGAGACTCCAGAGGAAACTCAAGCGTGTAAGCTTTATTCACAAGTTGTTCATAAACCAAACATAGAAATTGCTGTCATGGTCCAGTGACGCGTCACAGTTCTCTGTTTTAATCAGCGGACTCACCTCAGTCTTGGTGTCACAGCTTTGATAAACTAATCTGAAGGTTAAGAAAACATGACCTGAGTGACTGAACCATGCACATCGGGGAAAAATTCAGCATGACAGAACATGTCTAACATTTTACGGATTAGCTACCACAAGCTTTGCTAAACATCCACAAGGTGCTGCCATAATTGTTAAGCAGACTGTAGCAGACAAACACTATTGTGTATTTCTGTACCATTAAGCTATGATGAGTAACATATTCAGTTCTTCCTGTTGAAACAGAATAAATTCCAGCAACCTATAACATCTCCAAGTTTCTGGCTTTGATCCTCAACCCGCTGGTAGGCAGCTCTGAACACCACATCCAGAACACCCTGGATTTTGTTGAGAAAGTGAGAGATGTCATTATGGAGGCAGATGAAACCATGGTCTCGTACAACATTACATCTCTCTTCACTTGCATCCCAGTCACGGAAGCATTGGAGGTAGTTCGTAAGCGATTACCGGATGACCCAACCTCAGCAACAGGACCACTCTCAGCATCAACCAAGTGTGTTTGCTTTTGGAACTGTGTCTTCATTCAACCTAC